GAAAAACGGGTACTTGGTTTTTCCAAACACGTCAAAATGTTTTGATACCATAATTATTAAAAAGTACATTGAAAAGATTTTTTTCATGTATTCTTTTTGTGGCGTTGCCAGTTTTTAACAACATCGATATTGAGACACTATTACGGGGTGTGGGTGTGGGTGTGGGTGTGGGTGTGGGTGTGGGTGTGGGTGTGGGTGTGGGTGGAGGTACGGGTGTGGGTATGGGTTAAAAGAATAACTTCGCTCACACCCACACCCAGCCATACCCCCACTCACCCACCCATCTACACCCCCACTCACCCACCTACGCACACCCACCCACGAACCCACACCCTCTTGAAAAATAATGCATTGCAATGTACATTATTTCGGAAAATCGGCTACATGAGTACACCGACACCCACCCACACATTCACACGACAAATATACTAGAACACAAAGGCTACATTTTACGAAAAGAAGCACAAATCAAAACGTTTTTCGATCGACGAAATATGCTCATAATAAAACTCGACAGTGCACCGTACGAAAAATTTGAAGTAGCACTGTCTACCTTGGCTGAATTTTTATTTTCGCAACATTGAATTGATAAGAACCCATCGTTGAAATTTCCAATGTTTGCAAGTTTTATCTTTATTTTCGTCTTCTGCGCAACCGAGATATGTAACGCATTACATAGATTTCTTTTATCTTGTATTTTTCCATGATGACAAAGTAGGCTGTTCTTATGTAAAAAGAGCAGCACACGAATAGATAAGCAGACATATTTCTATTGTAAATATTAGTATATTAATAACACACGGTATTCAAAAAAAATTTATCAATCAAGCACTTGGTCCTGACTTTGGTTTATAATTGTGAGTAGTTGAGATTCGACTGAACCAACCGCATATCAACAATGGGATCAAAAAATGCCAAGTTGGAAAATCAAGAAGTATGTCATACACAATACAAAGTACTGATAATGACGGATATGTCTCGCAAAATAATATGATTAGCACAAACTTCAGCAGTTCGAATCTTCTCGTTTATTGATTCACAATCAATAATTGTTTTTATGATGAAGTTGTCGAATCTTACATTGTTTTTTGTGATACACGAATGTAAATGAGTGTTGAAGTGTTAGAGCCAGAAAAGTGTACACTCCTTACAGAGAGCTCCCCATTACGGATATTTACCCTTAAAAATCCTCTTCTCTCTTCCCTTGCCCTCTTACAGAGTGTATGATGTTTTCGATTTTTCGACCATGGCATTATTTATTTAAACAATTATTTTTAATAAAATAATTATTTCTTTCGATAGAACGGCTTGATCGTGATTCAGATTTCAATTCCATAGGGATAGCGCTAACAGCTTTTTTCTGTAGGTAGATACCTGCTGTATCATGTGTTTCAGCCCATTTGGTATACAAGACGAGCGTACACCATATAAGTGTATCAACGCAATATGTGGTCGACACTTCTGTGGTCAATGTGTGAAATACATACAAATTTACAATGGCAATGTTCGCCAGTTCCGATGCATGTACTGTTTGAAAGAATATCGAAAAAGCCAAGTGCCAATAAAAGATCTTTTGCTCGTAGAACAGTTGTGGAATGAAGCTGTCGTCAATTATGGCATCAAACGGACACTCCAGTTGTTGTCGAATGAATGTCATGCTGCTGACTTGAAGTTCGATATCGATTGTAGACAACGGCACTTGTCAAATTTAATCAATATTTACAGTCGCTACTTTGATTGGACAGAGTTTCATGAAATAAGAATCGAAGCTGAAAATATGGCTGATCAACTGTCAAAAATTGTTAAATATATCAACGAAGAGACAAATGCTCAAATCGATATATGTAAAAGTGTTTACCAAAATAGTATATCGACACCCGATGATGATAACAATGTTGGTTCGCTCTATATTCGTCTCTGTGAATGTTTATTACTTGAAATTACAAATGCAGAATTTCACCGCATGTTTCCAAAGACGAATGCCAAGATGGCCGAATGGATGCATGAACCAGGATCGGAAGATAAGTTTCAACCGAAAATTTTCGATTTAATCAAGACGATCAAGCACGATCTTAAAAATCTATGGTCGAATTCTCATTTTGAAGTTCGCACCAAAATTGGAGTTGTGGGTTACACAAGTGTTGGGAAAAGTACTCTACTCAATCGTTTTCTCAATGTGGGTTCCTTAACAGAAAACGGAACAGCTCCAATATCCATCGACAAAAGTACGTACTTTCCATTGCAATTCGACAGAAAAGAACCATTAATTCATCCTGATAATCAAGACCTAAAAACAGCAGTCACATTTGTCGACATTCAAGGTTGCGACAAGAGCAGATCCAATGGTGATAGTCAAAGAGACGCAGATAGATATTTGTATGAAATTCTCAAAGCAGATTGTGATATTTATATGATCGTATTTGATGACGAGCTTTGTGACGAACAACATAAGTGGATTGTTGGCATCGAACAGACGTTAAAGCGCAAATGTATTTTAGTGAGATCGAAGGTAGACAAATATTATTTGTCAAAATTCATGGAACTTTCTGAAGTATTCTATGCCCAAAGTACAGTCGAGCAACGTCAACAGTTTGAGCCAACTATCTTACAACAAATCCGACTAAATAATTCGGTCAAGAATCGATTCGTTTATCTAGTGGCGCCGGACTATAAACCATCGACCAGTGATGCCCAATTGTTACTAGGAAACAATTCATTTGACTTGCTACTATTGCTTGACGAGCTAAGTCGTTTAGCGTTCAATGCTCGCAATAGTCGAATTCATTCTTTGGCAAAACGAGCTGTAGCTCGTATGATCAACATATGCTTTCGCCGTGACTATGTGCTCAATGTGCTCAAATATCAGATAGTCGCTGGGATTGGATCTATCATACCTTTCGGTGACCAGTTACCTCGCTATCTCTCACGGGAATGTATCAGAGATGCGTTCGGCATTGATGATGCTCTTCGTCAATATCTAAACCGGTATAAACTCGTGATTTCTGGATATAAGTTGCAAACGTCAGTGTTCAAAGATTGTGTTAAAATTCAAGAGTTTGAGACTCATTGGAAATCCGGGGCGAAAATGGTTGGAAAAGCGGTTGGGACTGCTGCCATTGCTGGTGGAGCAGCGGCTACCGATGATATTGTTCGAGCGGTTGCATCTGCTGCCACTGCTCTGTCTGGAGCAGCGCGCATCGCACTGACTGCTGCTACTCTTGGCGTCGGAATAGCCATTTCCGCTGGTGTATGCGCTTGGTCGGCAATCAGCAGTGGTCAACATATTTTCAGTTACGTACAGCGAATATGTGATGATCTCATTCAGGTGATCGATCCGTTGATTCACGTCATCATTTTACAATTGGAAGAAGCGGTAGCAAACAATATTGTATCAATTCCTGAAAATCATTCTTCGTAGATCAGCACATTCGAAAAGTGTTTCACTGTTAAGAAATTCGGTTTTGTACAGTAACAATTTTTAATGTACTCATGTAAAACGCTTTATATGGGTGTGGGTGTGGGTGTGGGTGTGGGTGTGGGTGTGGGTGTGGGGTGTGGGTGTTAGTGTGGTACTATGCCTGTTAAATCATACCCACACCCACACCCACACCCACTCCACACCCACACCCCACCCACACCCCACCCACACCCTATATCACAATAATCATTCGAATGTTGTTATAGAATAAAAATGGATTAATAAGAAAAACTACTGAATAAGTTTTGAAAACAATATTAAATAGCTTCTGTGTCTTTTATTTACGATATAATCTCAACAGCTTCATAGTTTTTCATGATAGGATCTTGTTGAATATTCAAAGTCGTATCACATCAGTAGCGGACCCAGAAAATCCATGAAGAGATGGCTCTTACAATCTGTTGTTTTTTTTTGTTCCAGGTGAAAAAATCTGACATTAAGTCTTGTACGATAATATGAAATCGTACAAAAAGCGTGGTCTCAGAGATCTTACATAAATTCTTACTGTAAGGTTCTTGTCAGATCTTACCGTCGCATAAGATTTTCTATAATCTTACAGTGAGATCTGATAGGAGAACAAGATCTGTCAAGAATCTTAGAGTAAGACTTGATCTAAGACTTCTGATACCATGATTTTTTGTACGATTTCCGTCTGATCTTACAAGGTCATACAAGATCAGATGAACGATTGTGCAAGATCTTACCATCTGTTTATTTGACCTGGGGTTTTTGTGGAGGAAAAATGTAAAATAAATTCACGAGATAGTGACGATCATCGAACTACTGAATCCGTCAGTGAGATATCTCTGTTGGTAACTAGAACATTATGACACCAAAAACATAACAAAAAAGACTCCATACTTATAATATATTTCAATTTCAGTCGGAAATCTTATTCATGTAGAACAGTAATAACCAAATGAAATAGCTCATGAATACAGATCTTTTGTAGTATTTCTATTATCATATAATTATAATTCTACGAGAAGTATCAGATTTGATCCTTTAATCATCTTCTGAGATATATGAATCACAAATGAGAAAATCACATCATTTTGGTAACCCCCCCGTTGTTAAAAAAAAAAAAACTCTTGATAAATCGGTTTTGAGAAGTAATTTTACGTATATTATCTCGAGTATTTGATGAAATAAAACCTTGAATATTGTCGTTTTTGTTTGTTGATCTACCATAAACAAAATTATTCTAATCCTTTTCAAGATATTAAATAAAATCTATGACAAAATAAATTCACACATTCTCTAATCAAATGAATTATTGTCAATTTTAGAAGAAAAAATTCACTAAGTTATTCCCATTACACTCCTAGATCTTTTCTTTTTTCATTTTTAAACAAAATAGCTATTTTGCAATTATTTTTAACTAATTATTATTCTTAATTCTATCTTGTCAATTTTATTATTATATTTATTTGGACATCAATTTTTCTTTTCATTATTTTTCGAAATTTTTATTTGATCTATTGATTTTCAATCCTTTTGAATATAATTAAAACAATTAATATTAAAGGATGGAAGCTCTAAAAAAATCTCGATTAATATTTGTTGATCGATGACATTGATTACATGTAATTGTTATTATTGTTAATGATGTTTCTCTTGTTGTTAGTATTTTATTTAAAAAAATTGCTAAATGAAATTTTGCATGTAAATCAATTTCGCGTTCACTTATTAATGATTGTTTGCATACAATACATGCAATAGCGAATGGAATATTATCATTATTATTAGTAAATAATTTTGTTTTAGTTTTCGAATGATGATGATTATTATTATGTTCATATAAACGACGTTTATAAACACTTTTATTATTTAATGGTTGATGACAATATGAACAAATATTTGATGATGTTGCATTACAATGTGATAATTTATGTTCTGAATGTATATCAATTGTTGAAAAAAACGATCATATATATTACATTTTAAATAGCTTCCTGATGATGCTATATGAATACGAGATTGATGATGGTAATGATGATAGAGGTAATGATTGATGAGTATGTTTATTATGTCGGTATGAGTGTGGGTGTTGTGTTCTCTTTATCCACATCCACACCCTGTCACGCAAACTCTCTAGGATACTTTTAATAGAGGTGAAATAAGAGCCAAATTTTTCCTATTACATGTGACACAAATAAATTATCTGTCTTTAAGTTTTCATTAACACTCTACGTCATTCTTTAGGTTAATTTTTATAGATATTGTTTTAGAGCTGCCTTCATCCGGACAGAGAACTGATCGGAATACATTTGTCACGTTATCTCCCAGCTTTTGATTTGTTTAAGAATGTCGGAATCATATCATGATACTTTGCAATTGTAATAAGAACAGCGATGTTGTAAAAATATGATCAATAAGAGCAAATCAAGCGAGACTTCACTCTTGAGTGTTGAACAAATCGACATTCCGTTACTGAAAGTCAACATGCACTTCAATAAATCAAAACAAACCAAAGAAAACAAAATTAAATGAAAAAAAAAATTTCTCTCAAAGTTCAATTCTGGCAATGCTATGCTCAGGAACATGTGGGATTGTCACATGGCCATGAACGACGTAGTGTTTGCGAATTATAACGAGTGCATGTCCGATCAGTACTACCAGCATCACCGTGACCTGGATGACATGGACCATAGGCATCAATCACTGAAGTGAATATAGTTGGATCAATAGGACCTTCGACATAATCGTGAAAATCGAGGTAACCCGTATCTAGATCTTCTCGAAAACGTACAGGAATACGCGAATCCGCTACAGTGTACATATTGCGAAGATTTCGTATTGGGCCCACACCAGTAAAATTGGAAAACTAAAATTATAAATACAAACTTAGATAGGATGCATTCAATGAATAGCGAGAAACACGTTATCGAACAGATTTTCGTAACCCATTCAATTCAAACGGTTTCTATTTGTACCTGAACTGAGAATTAAATAGCAAAGCAAAAGAAATTCATATAATTTTTTTATATAAAATGATAGTGAACGAACACTTTCGAAATTAATATGAACAAGTCTCAAGCTTTACTTTTTAATCTCGCATATTGGCGTAGCTAATCCTTCTGTATTATTTCCCATTGATGTAGATGAATCATTAGGTTACCGGTTCATTCATGCCTTCTGCATCTTCGTTCTTTTTATTCCTAATTTTTAATTACGCAGGTTTGTCAAATGCAAACAAAGACTCTGCTTAATCAACTGACTAACTCAATTTGATTTTTTTCCCCATCGATTCAGATCGGTTCTGACTTTGTTTCATCCAGTCAACCTCAAATTATCTCTTCCTCTTCACTCACCCACTCGACCATCCAAAAATCGGTCATTTGACCATTAACAAGAACATTTCCATTGTACGTGGCGTTGCTTTGACATAACCACTCCGGATGCCATGCAGGAAATGTATAGTTGCAACAAACATGTGCCGATGGATACACATAATAATTTTGTCCTTCGTAGAAGAGCACAGTGCATGGAACATAATTGGCATCGATACCGGCTGCATACAGTTGTAAAAAGGGACATGTCGGGTAAAAGTCGGTTCGGATTGCTCTAAGCGATTCATCAAACCAAAAGTGTCCCCAGCCCGTATCACCGTTGGACATGTTGTAATAGGTTGTGGCTGCTGACCAAGCAGAGGCCATCACAGGTGGTGTTTTGGCTGGCGCAACACTAGATCGAACACGACGTCTATTCGAGGAAGAGGCGACGCACATTGTCGTCTCATATCGTTCTTGTGTATCGGTGGCGGGAATTGTTACAGAAACGCATTTGAGACCATCGCAACAGTGAAAATCACTTGGAGCAGATAATGAATTATTACAGTTCAATCGAGTTTCATCCACACAACGGGGATTCTCTGATGATGATGGACACAGTTGAATGGCTTGGCTTTTTTGAACAGCAACGAAAAAGAGGATCAGGAGTGTGTTAATTGATCTCATCTTTCCAACTGATTCTGCTAAAAAAAAAGAAAATATATCAGTTTGATATTTTACAACTGTGAGAGCAAAGTGAATGCATCTTCTCTCTCATGATGTTGACTCGTTCTTTATCATACGCACACACTTAGAATGATAAAGTTATCACTACTTCTGCAGATCCTTATTCACTATGACAATACCTCGGATAGGGGTATGGATGTGGGTGTGTGAATATGAGTATCACTCTTCCCTTAACTCACAGTCCGACATCCACACCCCAATATGAATGTAATTCAATATATTACAAGCCTTCAATAGAAGTGTTTTATTTCTTATCTGCACCATCATCGCAGTATATATCTGGCTGCGCTAGGTGAGATCAAGAGTAAACCTTGACCATTCTTATCTACTTTCACATGCGGACAGTAATGCTATTGTTTATTGTCGCCTGTGTAAGGTCAAAGATGAATTTGTGATTCTAATATATTAATTTGAAGCTATTACGAACATCAATCAGAACGCAGATATAAACAAGCAATCATATTCGTTCCATATTTTATTCAACGCAATCCAAAACTCAAAAACCGTTAAACCCATCTCCGAAACTGAAAATAGATAAATTTTAACTAGAATTAATTATAGAGCGCCAAACTGTTATAAACGTTCCCGAATCTGAACGAAAACTACAAAAAAAAATTGTACTATTGAACAATCAGTTGGACAAATTCCTATACAATCAAACCTCCACCCGTTCGCCTAGGCATAAAAAGCACATCAATCGATACAGAATTATCTGACCTACCGAGATGATATACCTCCAAAATTGCCAAGAATCCACACTCATATACTGCACAATGATTACCTAAACTGATTCGAAGACCTTGCCATTCGTTGGCCGCCACATCAAACATACATCAATCGACGCAGAAATATCACAGCACTCGATTAGACCGGGGTATGGATGTGTGGCTATAGGTGTGGAAATGAAGAGGATGGGTGTGGGTGCGGCTCTTTCCTTTATCCACACCCACACCTACCCCACACCCATTATAATTACTGAATCTCTTTAGAATAAGGTATTGAATTATTTAATTAATATTCAAAATAGAAGAAAAAGAATTTTTTTTCTCTCGAAATAATTAGAAAATCACCATATTCAATTTTTATTTGCATTTTGGTGAAAAAAAAACCTCATCTAATTTCACAAAACAGTGTCAAGACTATGTCAATAAGGTAACTCCAAGTGGATTTTGAATGCACAAAAAAGAGTTCGTAACCATAGCTTATTGTTGGCGAGACAATGTATTTTTACAGTAGCTTTTAAATGTTTCTCTCAGAAACATCAGATAAAAAATGATTTTCGAATTTTTTGTCACTATCACAATCATGAAACTTAGTTTTGGTTTGTTAGGACCTCCTTACGTAAACTATATGTAAATTCCTAGCCGTAATAGAAGCACCCCATACTACTAAAATGTCCACGTATTCAAAAATTGTAGAGGAATGTGAGCTGTCAGTGTTACAAAAGAGTAGGTTCATACTCACACGATACCATTGTATCATCAGCAGAAGAAATGTGAATTTGTTAATCTACGATGGTTTTCAAATACCTGCTGCTAGACAAAGTGGCAGTTACAGAATACATAGTGAATATGATCTGAGATGTCGATGAAAACTAAAAGTGAATTTTAGAGATTCTTTGTGATCATGAATACTTGATGTTAGGAGAAACACTTTTTATACGAAGACGGCGTCTGCCCTTAGATTAATTTAATAGTGTGCTCAAGTGAGAGGAAAAAAAAACAAAATTTATCTAACCAAGTGAATCATGAACAATTCAGTTCTAACTCAAAAGATGTTTTCAAAAAGAAATCGAATATAATTCCTGGTTTATCTTTGAAAACAAAACGAGAAAGTCTATAACTCTAAAACTTGACTTTCTTTTGGCATTATTATTATTACTATTTTATGCATGTTTTATATTCATGGCTTATTGTGAACAAAGGTAGTTGTGTGGCTATTTTAACAATCGTGACCTAAATTCAACGACAATCATAACATGATTCACTTAAGACACAGCTATGATAAAAGCGTGTCTTTTAAATCTCATATATATAACAGTAGATTCAGTATCCTCATTTCAGGATAGAAGCAAATTAAAAGATTTGTCTTTTTATAATGTCTCAAGTCAGAATTCGAAAATCAATTCTTCTAGTGTTTCTGACACGAACATGTAAACTACCATAAATTCCCACTATCTATTCAGCAAAAAAGCGCTAATGATCAGACCTCTTATCCTGGTACTCAAAGCTCGTTTGGATCTACATAATACAGATAGTTCCGACCTCAAAAGCCATTAATCAGTTGGGACACTTCTATCGTCAAGAGTATAATTCATTAGAACTTGAAAATTCGATCTATGATTTTCAGAAATAGACAACAGGGCAAATTTAGAAAGAGATTTAACTTATTATTTATAATATTTTCTATTTTTTTAATATATAAAAATGATATTTACCCTCAATTTTCTATGTTTTACTTTAGCTTTAATCATAAATACATCATAGGTTTCTGTGCTATGACAAAGAAGAAATTGTGCTTTTAACTAATCTTTTTAAACATCTATCAATCCAAAAAATTCTTTGATTAATGATATCAATTGCTACATCTGTTGGTCAAGCTATATTCGTACCAATAATTTTAACAATATTACTTTCATCTAAATTAATTCTTCCAATCTGAATAAAATAAATAGCCAAATAATGAATCAATAGAAAGATAATTTGGTTCTGATAAATGTCTTGAATTAAGTAATGTTATGCCATAACAACCATCTAATTTACTAACATGAATTTCCGGTGAACCCAATAATTGGTACAATTTTTGTCCAAGTTAATGCATAACTAATGCACGTAGAAAACGTATTTATCTTTTATTATAACTGTTGATTGTGTTCCACTGAAATTTATTCGAAAATTTTTATCAATATATATAATTATTGAGAACAATAGAGATTCTTTCTCAGTTAGTTTAACGAAAGTATTTTTTACTCCGATTGATAAAGGTACTTTGATCAAAACAGGATAATGATCAGACGGCTCTTCTTTTATAATTTCAGCTTACCAATTCGATGCACCAGTTGTGATTCTAGAGTCAATCACTATAGAAGACTTTTGAGAGTTTGGTTAGTTGGAGTAGGTCATCTCATAATAAGTTTATCTGTAAAAGCAATCAGACGTACAGCGATCTATGTTGGCTGAATATGATATAAATATGATGTGTATACGGCAAAAATGCGGTCGTAAAGACTCCATAATTGAGCTGCGTATGAGCATCGCAACAAAATATCTCAGTGATACAAATGAGAATGATTTTGCGATGACTTTCATTTCGGAACAAAATACGATACAATATGAAATATTCATCATCGGAGGTCAATTACATGTCACTGACTGTATCATAAAAATGTGTCATATGATAGATATTTTAACCATTAGTCAAGAACATCTTGAGCGATCAATCAATAACTGAGATTGAACTATCTCGAACTCGTCTGATCAAGATTAAATCAACTTGATGCAACTGAATCTTAGAATCTTGCCGTCTTGTACCCCAAGAGTAGTTGCTAATAATTCAAATTAAACTATAAAAATAGTAATTATTCAAGTTTTCAAATATAAACTACGACATATTTTGCATTAGTATCAATGCATACTCTGTGATTATATTATATAAAACACATTGAAAAGAAAAAAAACTGTTCATTTATTTTTGACCAAAAAAGTCTTTCGAATACATGCCGAAGTGCAAAAACAAAACATACTTTTTTCTACGTTAGGTGCAAACATTTTCTTCACAAACACGCTTGCTGATCTATATTTACACCTTATAGATAGTAAATCATATAGATAATTAAACGATCAATCGACAGCATTTATAGAATTCTTCTTGTGGTGAGTTTTACTATGGCGGTTTTTGATCAACTGATTGATGAAATTATAACATTTTTCGTGCTTCGCATCACATTTCATATTCGAGTGAAAGTCGAATACCATCTAGTTAACTTTCACTTCTGCCACACTAAGCGATACTTATAACGATTTTGATTCAAACAATGAAGGTCTGATTAACCGAAATTTAATGGATGAGAAAAAAAGGCTAATCTTCTTTGCTGTTTATTACCAATAAAATTAGTCTTGTCATTCGATATTTCAAGGTAGTTTTTTAAATTGAAAATTAAAATGTTCAAGAAAACATATGTTACCTAGTACTTCACAATCAGCAAAGAAAGCAACTAGCTGTTAACATTAATACTTAAAGAATGTGAAGGGAAGTCTTTGACATGAATATCAACTTTCTTTTCAATAAAAATTGTTAAACTAATCTAACAACAAAATTTTTGTTGCTGAAATATTTACTATTGGGGAGAAGAAGGACAAAATAAATCTATTTAGAATTTTATTGTTTCCCCTAAAAAAAAATTGATCCTGTACCGTCTATGCAATTAAGTAAAGTACTTATTCTACTTTTTAGATTATTGTTTTTGCTTGAGATACTCAATATTGGAAATACTGTTGGTATTTCTATTTGCTTGTCAGAAAGAACAAAAATTATTGGATGATGGTAAAATAAGGATTCATAATTTCATTGGCTCACTATTTCTGTACGAAGTGATAAACGTTCTGTACAATTTACATGTGTTTGTATCACACCTTCAACTGCAATTTTTCAATATATGCCCAGTATATTGAGATTCACTTTTTCTCATTCATATATATGGTTATGCTTGAATGCGTCTTCGATTTGATTTTTACTTCAATAAGTCAAACCAATCACATGTTTAATGGTAGCATATTATAGTGGCATTTTTAACGTGTAGATTCAAATATGAGCTATTTGAGAAGATCGTTAAACGACAAACAAAGCATAAACACAAACTAATAATAAATTTGATAATATTCTTTTGTTGGTTTTTTTAGATGCCAAATGAAATTCTTAATAAACTCTGTTCAGGATTACCATTGAATCCTTTACCATCACCAAAAAAAACTCGAAATACAAATGTACCACATGCACCTGATAGAAAACCTTCATTAACCGATAAAGAACGAAAGGTTATTTATTAACTTATTTTTTTTCCTCAATTTATTTCTTCAAAAAGAAAAAATTATTCAATTCTAGTTAGCAATTAAAAATGCACTTCGTTATTTTCCGTCGAATATTCAACCTAAATTAATTGATGAATTTATGTATGAATTAGATACTTATGGTCATATTTATATGTATCGATTTCAACCTGATATTGAAATTCATGCATATCCAATTGATGAATATCCATGCAAATGTAAAGCAGCTGCAGGTATTATGTTGATGATAATGAATAATTTGGATAGAAGTGTTGCTCAATTTCCTGATGAATTAGTTACCTATGGTGGAAATGGTCAAGTATTTTCTAATTGGGCTCAAGTAAAAATAGTTTTAATGAAACTCGATATTTTTATAAGAGATTTTGAAATATTTTAGTTTTTGTTGGTTATGCATTATTTAAGTACAATGACAGATGAACAAGTTCTTATTATGTATTCAGGTCATCCAATGGGTTTATTTCCAACTAGAGTTGATTGCTCACCACGTGTCGTTATTACTAATGGTTTAGTATGTTAAATGAATGAGAGAAATAGTCTAAATAATTATTATATTTTTTTTTTTGAGATGATTCCAAATTATTCATCAAAGAATGAATATGATCAGATGTTTGCACTTGGTTGTACGATGTAAGTTCTAAAATATTGATTTTATTTAAAAACATTAAATCTATAGGTATGGCCAGATGACAGCTGGATCTTATTGTTATATTGGTCCACAGGGTATTGTTCATGGAACATTTGTATGTAGTAAACATTGAAGCGGTGTAGGGAAATAACTAATATTGATTAATTGGTTCAAGAGATTTGCTATTTTGGAATCTTTTAGTGTGACATGGAGCAATTGCCTTTTATTGTGTATTTTTCGTTTTTTAGTAGATTCTAGAGAATTAGATGTCGTTGCTAGAGGAATAGAATTGTGAAAGAGACAGGCTGTCTGTTATAGGAAGGATCGAGCCACGTAACAATGGATGCGGTTTTTTTGGGGGACTCATAGACTATGAACAGAAATACAACTAGCATTTTAGTTTATAATCTTAAAAAGTCAACGTCTAATGTTTCAATGAAAACTCATCTTTTCATCATAGATTACCATTATGAATGCAGCTCGAAAAAAATTTGGTAAAGATGATCTTCGTGGAAAAGTATTTGTTTCATCAGGTAATATAAATAATTTACATCTTGTTGAATATAATTTGATGAATTAATTAGGTTTGGGTGGAATGTCTGGTGCTCAACCAAAAGCATGTCAACTTCTTGGTTGTATTGGTGTTATTGCTGAAGTAAGTGAAGAAGCTGCAAAAAAACGATATGATCAAGGTTGGTGTGAAGAATTAATTTATAATCTAAATCAATTAATGACTCGTATACGAGAATGCCGAGAAAAAAAATTAGCAATATCAATTGGTTATGTTGGGAATGTTGTTGATGTTTGGTTAGTCATTTTCTATGTTTAATCAATTCATTTATATTAGCTTATTTTCTTTAGGGAACGTTTAGCAAATGAAAAAGAAACACTCGTAGATCTTGGTAGTGATCAAACATCATGTCATAATCCATATCAAGGTGGATATTATCCAGTTCAAGTAAATTTAAAAAAAAAAATTTGGTTTGTTTTTCTTATTCGATATAATTATACAAATTGTTAGTTGTCATATGACGAAGCTCGACAATGCATGAAAAATGATCCAAAAAAATTTAAAGAACTTGTTCATGAAAGGTTATTTTATTTAGTGTATATGAATTTTTTATTGTTTTCTTATTTTCTTCATCTTTTAGTATTAAACGACAAATTGCTGCTATTGATAAATTATATGAACGTGGAATGTATTTTTTTGATTATGGTAATGCATTTTTACTTACAGCTAAACAAGCAGGTATAATTGAACATCATAAAATCTTTTTTTCTTATTAAAATTCGTATTATCAAGGTGCTCCGGTTGGTGGTGAGGATGGAGAACGAAGTATTCGTTTTAAATATCCATCCTATGTTCAAGATATTATGGGAGATATATTCTCACTTGGTTTTGGACCATTTAGGTTTGTTTTGACTTATGATTTTTCTATATCTATCTTATTTTTTCTTTATAAGATGGGTATGTGCATCAGGTTTGGCAAGTGATTTACAAGAGACGGATAAGATTGCTGAAGATGTTATTAAAAAACTTATGTCAAATAAAGATAGTATGTATTAAATATTATTGTCTTTAATTTTTTTGTAAACTTTCAATAAATAGCTCCGGATAATGTTCTTGAACAATATAATAATAATTTAAAATGGATACAAGAAGCTGAAAATGCAAAATTAGTTGTTGGTTCTCAAGCAAGGATTTTATATTCTGATCAAATGGGTAGAATTAATATTGGATTAGCATTTAATCAAGCTGTACAAACAGGTCGATTAAAAGGACCAATTATTTTATCAAGAGATCATCATGATGTATCAGGCACAGATTCACCTTATCGTGAAACAGCAAATATTGAAGATGGATCTGCATTTTGTGCAGGTGTGTATCAAAAATGAAGAATCTCTTGCTGTTTTTTCTTTATATGTTTCGATTTTCTCTTAGATATGTCTATACAAAATGTGATTGGTGATTCGTTTCGTGGTGCAACATGGGTTGCATTACATAATGGTGGTGGTGTAGGATGGGGTGAAGTTATGAATGGTAAAGAATTTTAGATGTTTGTTCTTTTTTTTGTTTAAGAATTTTCGTTTAGGTGGTTTTGGTATGTTTCTTGATGGAAGTACAAAAGCTGATGATAATATTCGACACATGTTATATTGGGATGTAATAAATGGTGTTAGTCGTCGATCATGGTCTGGCAATAAAAATGCTCGTGAGACAGTAGAACGAGCTATGACTAATGAATCAAAACTTAAAGTGACAATGCCAAATGAATTGGCTGAAGAATGTATGAAGAAGTTATCCTTGTAAAAGCAAAAATTTTTACCGAAGAAAAAGCTTATTCTAGTTACTAACCATTAATATTTATAATCTATTTTAACCGTTTAATAAAGTATAACTGACAGAACACAAAAAAAAAACAAAATGAAAACTTCTGAAACATCGAGAATCATGCTATAAAAGTACAAATCCTTCGACTAATACTCAGAGTAATCCACAACAGAGATCTGTGAAGTAGCCGAAAAATTGTTTCATCATAGCTTTATCTAGTCTGTTCTTATTCTTTTACTCATATGAAAAAATTACTATTTCTTTTATTTCATCCAATCAAATAAAATACGTTTAGTAAATATACAAAAGTTCAAAAATCAAAGTATGTTTGAAGTTGACCATCATACCACAACTGCTAAAATTGACATTCGACCTTATCTATAGTTGTTGGAATTGAATAAATGCCGTACACATAAAGCAAGTGAGAGTAAGGTAGAGATATGATGTTTGGTTTTGTTTCAAACATTATTAACTGTTGTTTTGCACGTTTTCTTAAGAGCGATTGGAGAATCTTAATTATTGATCATAGGTTAGCCGTCGAATCCTAGCCAATATGTGCCCAAAACAGCTCAACTATTGATAGGAAACGACGGCTTTTATCCCAGTAGCCTTGCAAGAGAAGGCTTTAAACTCTCCCATAAACACAGCATCATTTCAAGCCCAGTATTAGATTCAGTTCTGGTATCCATCCTGAGAAAATTTCCCTCGGAATACTCCTACTAATCTCTACTTCTTATACTTATTTCAGTGGTCTATAACTTCGTATCAAAGTCAGCGTAGAATCTCTAAGAACAACCGTGAACAAGACTGATTTTTAGAGTTATATTGAGTGTTGCATTCGGCTGGTAATTGTGAGTCTCAAGGCCTAATGAACAATAATATTTAGTTTGTATAATTCTCTAATAGACGCGTGACAGTTGTGAGACTGTTCTTAACGAATTCGATATGTCAAAGATTCCATCTTTCAAAACGCGAGCTTTCTAAAACAAAACCACCTAATTCATCGAATATGATTGCTAGCGGCATACGAAAAAGTATCGTTGAAATTCTATCATTTGTGGTTGTCAACATAGATTACATGAATCATAAGAGTCTTTTGACTATATATTCTCATTTACATCATGAAAATATGTGATAATCAAAGCAAGAAAGAAGATTGATAAACTTGAAACTCTCGTGCAGTAAATGTGTTTTATTTATGAAATACATTTCAAAACAAATAGTTCTCAAACTATTCGAGTATAATATAAAAGAAAAAGTAAATATATAACTCATCTTCCATTAAAATGGATCCTATCAAAAACAATCTTAAACTTTGCACTCTATAGCGCTGTCTTCTTGTCAATGTTATATTAGTATCATCATCATCTATACAAAGCAAGGTAGTACAGCAAATTGTGATAAGAAATATTCGACTCCTAATCCAATATATCATAAGTAATATCTTTAACATCTTTCAAAAGATTGCTAGATGAAGACAAGATCATTATTTATGGCATTTTAAAATTGAATCGTTTTTTAAAATAATAATCGAAGGACATGATTTAAACGGCTTTGTTGACCAAGTAAACTTAGTTTGTCTTGTGTCAGAGAAACGGTCATTTTCCACTAATTGTCTTAGTTTTTTGGCACAATTAGGAAATTACTCCCATCGCACGCTTGCTCGTAGTATCGCTGATGATCAAAATTTTTACAAAGTCATCTTATCACTGGGGCCAATTTCAAATTCTTATAGAACAAAATTTACCTCTATAGAATCGAGCTATTTAAGTTTTTTTGTTGTAAATCTATTTATAGACCATCCTGTATATATTTGTGATGAATTTTCAATATCGTATTTTTATACATGTATGATTCTATGAATTTCTATTAGAAAAAGCACATTGAACTTTTTGTCTTTCAAGGAAACAAAAGTGTGAATAAGTATAAAACATTCTGCTTCTGACCTGTTTAATAGCTCGTATCATGACATTAAACATATTTATTTCCAACATATTATTCATACGCAATAAAACTTAATATTGAATTTCTTTATTTATTTTATTGTTCATTATAGAACGATTATCAAATACGAATAATTTTTTATTCATTTTTTAATATAGTCAACATTTTTTGATATGTCGAATATTAATTGTTTTTTTGTTTTTCTTATTATCAAATACAATTAGAACTAAACGAACTTTTGGTGACATAACAAATGACATTTTCAATATTGCTATATTTTTTTTTGAATATAGTCTTCTATATGAAGAATGATGTTTATTCTAATGATAAACTAGACTTTAAAGAAACGCCATTTACTTGAAAATAACAAGATGAAGTATCTGGTATTTATCACAAGTATCGTGTTTTATTAAATAATTTTCTTGATAAAATTAATCGAGTCAATCTTCTGAAGTATTCAACAATGACAATCAATTCTTCTGAAATAAATAACCGAAGAACTCCATAATCAATACTTTTAAGATGCATTGAACAGACGAACTGTCCGCCTATTTAGATTTATTTATAGGTTATTTTTTTCTTTTCTCTTCTTCTTACATCTTATAAATTGTCTATCATTTATGGCAATATTTATATAGAGTTCAGATCGATTCTCATTCTTTTTTTTTTTCTTAACAAAAACACAAAACATAACAATTATGTTTCATATATCATTTATTTTCTTACCATTCATATTTACTATTTTAACAATGACAATGGCTAATCCATGTCCATGTGAATTGATTGCTAACGAATCATTATCAAATAATCCTGCAAATACTGTTGTGGACTCAGTCATGAATCAGTTAGTTGATGATGAAACTTTTGAAGATTATCTTGATCAACTTCCGGCTCCATCACAATCAGAAACATCAACAGATTTATCATCATTACATCCATTATTTCGACAAATTAAAAGTTTAGAAACAAATCGTAAACGTTTTAAAAGACCAAGTTGGGCAACTGTTGGAAAACGAGCATATTATATTCATAATAAACCACCATCATGGGCTCAAATTGGTTAAAACAGACTATTTAATTACGCACATATTCTGTTTGAAAAATATAATTAAAAAAAATAAAAATAATTTAAATTTCTCTCATTTAGTCTTTTTAAATTTTTCTAAAATTTCATGATTATCAATAATTGATTAAAAAAACAAAAAAAAAACATTTTCGATGCTTTTATTTGTCCACTACTAATAAAATTTATTTTACATATTCATTCATCTTTGCTTTGCTTTTTTTTGTTTTTGATTAGATTTGAATTTTGAAGCAAACATAGATCTGTCATCGTATAAAATTAATTTTTTAGTTTCTTATTTCAACAAAAGAGGAAAAAAAAACGAAAACTTGATCCATTTCGTTGTCATTTGACAATAGTAAATCAATAGTTTTATTTTTCAATTGTTATAAGAATATGTCTATATGTATGCATAAGGATCGCAGAGAAACAAAGTTTGTGTTTACCTTGAATTATAATGAAGTTCTCGAATTATTTATAAAGCTTTATTTTTTATAATCAAACTCGTACACAAGTCATTTATTTTTCTATATAATTTATTTTTATCCAACATCAACTAGTTAATTTGTCATTGATTATACTATGAAGAGAAAAAAATTCGTCAATCATTTCTATGCATGTCAAATAAGCGAAGTAAGATTAATATAAAGAATGGTTTGTAAATCTAGCAAGGTCGATCAAATCAATATTAAAAAAAAACCCATCCATAGAAAAGAGAAAAAAAAAAGAACAGGATATATAGACATACCAAATAACAACAGCAAGTTTCTTTTGACATTATTATTTTGATCTTACCATATACGTAAAAAAAAAAGCAAGAAAGAAATTTGATCACTTGTATTTCTCCGCCTACTCATATATCGTCGTTATGATTAACAAATACATGTATCATACTAAGAGATAAAGACAAATGAATTCTATTTATATCAAAAACTACTAGGAGAGACAAAAAAAAAATCTGGGATACACAACACACATTTTTCATTATTTAAAAATAAAAAAAAAAGAAACTTTATTGACGTCTGTTCTTTTTTTTAAATACATCTGTTGATTTGCCATATGTTGCAATAACTGTATCTTCAATTTCGCATTCACCAAAACGAATATGAAAATAACCATTATCACCCCATCCAGTACCCCATGAATTTGCTGCAATCCAATAATTTTCTTCTTTTTGTGTACTTGGATCAGTTTTGGTACCCCAACCAAGTAAACGAATTGAATGATATGCATCTAAATTAGCATAACGTGGATTTTGATTATGATAACTTGAACCACCACAACGATAAACACCAGATTTATATAAGAAAAAATCTGGTGTAACACGTATTGTTGCTTGTACAGGACCACGATAATATATTTCATATTTAATTGAATTTGCATCATCACGAATACGATAAGCAGGACCAAAATTATAATGTTCACCATTATTAATATTTGATGGACATTTAATATTTTTTAATTTTCGATGTTGACCAATCATAAGTAAATCAGTATCAGATAAATGAAGTTTACATTCATCTATATTACCTGTTTTACCACTTTCATATGGATAACAATTTTCTGTAACAACACCACGATCTTTTATAAAACCCCATGCATATGCAACACGACCACCTTGACAATTTTCTTTAGCATCTTGATCTGTACATGAAAGTATATTTTGTACACTTAAAGGTTCTTTTGGTAGTGTTATATTTTGTACAAGTGATAAACGATCAGCAGCAACATCAACTGTTGATAATGCCCATGATATACCACATTTACCTTGATCACGTATACCACGAATTTTACCAATAAATGTAGGTTTTGTACGAGCATCAAATGAATTAATTGTTTCCATACGATGATAATCATCCATATCTTGAGGTGCATTATCAACCATTGTACGTAATGTTCGATCAGGTAATGTACCAAGATAATATTTTAATGCATCTTTAACTTTAACACCATTAAATTTATCATATGTTGTTGCTGTCCAACCAATATATGGTTGTTTATTATTAACATATGATATAAGATCTGGATTATTAATACAAAGATCTTCTTCACATGATAATGTTGTTTGATAACCAAGTGTAATACATCGACATAAATTACAATCATGTGAAAATGATTCACCTAATGAATATTTTCGACCAGTTTTTGTATCCAAACAATTTTGAATTTGTTTTGGTGTTGTTGTTGGTAATGATGTATTTTTACCTTCACATACAGCATCATGATCAGGACAACAATCATGATTATCTATGCCACGAAAACAAAATGTATCGCAATAACATCGAGAATCATAATATGGCATAAAACAATTATCATTTCGACTAATACAACATTTTGGTTCAGGACGTATACCACAATATGGTTTTATTTCTTCCCATTCAGCATAACGACAATGAATTAAATTTAATAATGATATTAAAATACTTATGAATAAGAATAATTTTATCATTATTGAACTCTTATAATAATAAAATAATGTCCAATATGAGATTTAAGAATACTGATATTGTCACCGTTACCAACACTTGTGAAAAAGAAAAACAAATCAATTTGTACGAATAAGAGACAACAAGAGAAAACTAGAAAAAAAAAAAGAAACAAATACCTACAAAAACCGAGAGAAGGAAGAGCGAAGAGAGAGAGAGAGAGAGAGCAAAAGAGAATACACAAAAAAGCTGCTGTTGCTGCTGCTGCTGTTGTCACTAGTGATCGTTTTTTCGCGTGTATGTACTCTTGATAAAGCTGTGCATAAGTTTGAATCATGTCTTATCGCATAAGACAACTTTCAGATTAATCTTATTGTAAAGAAAAATATATCATGAGAAGGACAACATCAAATTGTGTAAAGTATAATTGAAAAGGCGGATGTCAAAAAGCTTTGATAATTGGATAAAAAAAAATCATGATTCTAGATTGATACTATCTAATTTTATATTAATGAATATATACATGTACAATTTATTATATCTATGAGTTTAAATAATAATTTAGAATGCGGTTAAAGAATAATATATTCAACAAACCGCAAGTCACCCGAATCTCTTTGTATATATTGACTAATATTCAAATATAGATGTTTTATTTTTTTGTATACATCCAATGTGGTCTAAAGTTTTTCTAAGCATTTAATTTGTAATCAACAATAAATATCATTATTTTTTTTTTCTTATCGATTCACATTAAAAAGAAACCAAAAAAAAAAACTTGTTTTTATATGAATATAATATGTCTACGCTTATTTTTGATTAATATATTTTTACATATATACATAGAGTATATTACAAAATGACAAACTAAAAGATCGATAGGATATGATTTACATCTTGTTGTGGTTGTATTCTTTGTTATTATGCATATCATTCACAATCGTAGAAGATGCATGAAGGAAAAATGAATTGGCAACAGCATGTATATTATTGTATTTCAATAAACATATACTTGTTCTTAATGTGTAACTAGAAAATGTCTTTAGCTAATAAAAAAAAAACAAAAAAATAATAATAGACCTTTGATGTCTTCTTCATATAAGAGGTTAACAAGATGATAAGTATTGTCAAAAAATATTTTCATTAATTTAATTAGAAAAATATTCATATAATTATTAACATATGTTAAAAAAGAAAAAATATAAAAGACAAGGTTAAATTCTGTCTATTGATTATTATGGTTAGATTTCAATCAACATATGTATCACCTTGACAAGGTAAAATATTTTGATAGAATTGATAAATATTGATGTATCGTCTATGCCTTCCAGATAAGAAACATTCTATTGTTTATGTAAGAGTTCATTGATGATATAAGAAAAAACATTATTCGATTGAAAATGATATTCTTCATACAAATGAAAATCAGATGCAACATTTTTTCCTCTTCTATCTATATCATTTGATATAATGTTGGATAAAGCTTTAAGGAGAAAACCTTATCAGTATCGACAATCTCAATCATATGAAAGTATATATATATATGACTTGCAATTTTTTATAGAAACATTAAGTATTTATTGATGAATGTATATGCTTTCATAATTTTGACACTTTACTAATCATAGATCCGCCCATGTTATTTATCAATCAATAATATTATAGACATCAAAACAGTTTAAACATGTTTTTACTTTCACAGTAGGACATATCAAGGTTATTATAATGATAAAGTAATTATAGAACACTTATAAGAAAATCCTTATAACAAAGTGTTAAAAGATAAGGTCAAAATCGATAAATATCTATTTAATTATTTATATATCAATAAAGTTGAATTTTTCTTTCGATATTTAAATTAAATTTTTCTTTTAATAGTTTTTTTAATTCAATATCATTATCGAATATTGGATAATGTTTACGAGTTTCTATACCATTTTCTATTATCCATTCCCAATATTCTTTACCAATAATACCATAAGCACCATTGATAGGTTTATATCTATATATACGACATATCGTACAATGATTAAGAATAACATCTGGTGAATGAATAATATATGAACATGTATTTTTAAAATCATCAAGTTTAATTGATTTTTCATGAAAATCTATTGAAAATCTATATGATGTTATCCATTTGATACGTTCTGGATTAATATCAATAATATGAGTTTTAGGAGTTGATGATGAAATTGGTAGAGAAATATTATTATTATCAATAAGAAAACCTCTTTGAAGTATATAATATAATCCATCATTAGATTTTATTAAACGAAAAAATCCATTTGTTGCATATTGAATACAATCTGTACGAAAGAATAAAGGTGTAAGAAAATCTTTTGCAAAACCAACATCACATAAAAACTGTGTATCATTATCTAATGTAACAAATAATGCTGCATGACTATGAACATCAAAATAATTGTCGTTTTTATCATTATAGACACCACATGCAATTAATTTAACATTATAATTTAGTTTATTAAGAATAAATGCAAAGAGACCATTCATTTGATAACAAACACCACCACGATTTTGTCGTACGAGTCGATTAAAAATATAATCTAATGAAATATTTAATTCTTTAAAATCGATTAAATCAAATGTTTCAAATGGTATATGTGTTAAATGACCAATATGTAATTGATTGAGATATTCTTCCATACAATCATTTGTTGGAAAATTTACTTCAATTCGTTTTAAATATTCATCTAGATGATGATTATTTTCCATCTAAAAAAAAATGAATCATATATTATAATTGAGGTCAAAATGTTTTCTTATTATTATTGAAACGAAGAATATATATATATATTATTATGCATCATCTGTTACAATGGAAATGAAATGTAACAAATCAAAATTTCATGCAAAATTTATTATGTTTTTTTTTTCTTCATTGAATGCAATATACATTAGTATAACAACAATTCCTAGAAACCATGCAAATAACAATTTATAAAAAGAAATGATATACATTTTTGTTTTTGGGCATTTGTTTGGGACGTAATCTGTCATGTCAGATTACGAAGTGTTATTCAGAGAGACCGCAAATCGACTGTTTAAGATTATTTTTGTCTAGAAACAATGACTAATATTAGAGCTGTATTTTTCATGTTTATTATCGTACATAGCATAATTCAGATGATATTATGAAACTCAATGGAATAAATATATATATATATATCGTTTCTGATGATCGGAATAATGTTTTTCTGAGAAATATGTCTATGCAACATCTTGTGTAGACTTTCTATGTATGTGCAATACATTGTAAGAAAACAAGAGCAAACAAAGAAAATCATTATATATAGGACAAGCAGATGAAAACTTGTTTGAAACAAACTATTTGTCTAATATAAATACATTAAGCTTTAGTTTAGATATTGATTGATCAAGATAGTGATTAAAACTTGCATGCAACAACATATATTATTATTAGTTATAGTACTTACCTGTGAAGAAAATGAGGGAAACGAAGAATATATAAAAATATGTACTTTCTCTCGATAACTTGACAATCGAAATCATAATGATTATTGTATAGATTTCAATAAAATCTATTGATTAATATAGAAAATGTCAATGTGAGTATCTTACATTCTGTTAAAAACATATGAAAAGAATTCAAATTTAAACTTGGAACTAACAAAATTTTTAATATTTTATTGATCGAAAAATGATTTGATATTTGAAGAGATTCTCTCAGAATTTTGATTTGATAAAGTTTGACATTCTTTTATTATGTATATTAGTTCATTATCAATCAATATAACAAATTCAATTTAATATCTTCATTTTTATTTTTTTTAAATAATGTTGAAAGAACAAATTCCACAAGCCCAATTGTTATATATATATATATTAGAAAATTTTACGATGTTTCATTCGTGTCATTTGAAAATGATGTAAATGACATATTTTCTTTTGCATTTAAACCTAATTTTTTAATAAATTCAATTTTTTCATTTGATAATTGTGTACTTGCTACTCCTCCTGTTGTTGATTGTTGAATGACAAAATCTATGAAAAAAGAAAATGAATGTGTTTCCTCTTTTTTTTGTTATTTGATTAAAATAAATCTAACCTTGCATTTCATGTAATCGTTGATTAATATTATTCGGAAGAGTTTTTGATAAAAATTTAATTAATGTTGGTACTGTTTTACCTGGTGCATGAATAAGTCGACCATTATTTACAGCATAAAATAGAAGAGTTATTGTTAAATGAAGAATCATTGCAGGATCTTGTTCATCAGTTAATTTTTCTTTAAGTTTTTCACGAATATCCAATATTAAATCTCTAAAATAATTGAAAAAACCAAAATAATAAAGACTTATATTTGAATAATAAAAATTAAATACAAACTTTTCAGTTTTTTTATTTGGTCGTTTTAATATTACTTGAAGTATTTCACTAGCTGCATCTTCAAGTCGAGTTAAAGTTGTTTCAACATTCTTTTTAATAAAAAAAAAATTGTAGAAATAAAAATAAAAAAAACTTTATTAATATTACTTTTCCATTAAGTGATTCATTCACTTTTGATAAATGATTTCGACTTGATTCAGGAAGTTTTTGAATGATTTTATTTCGTTCCTTTAAAATAAAAGACAAAAAAAAAAAAATTTAATTTGTATCTTTAATATTCTTACTTCAATACTCAATTGTCCTGTTTTAGTACTTGCTGATGTATCAATTTCTCGTATAATAATATCACACATATCAGTACAAAGTGAACGAATTAAATGTCGTTGTAATGTATCAGCTAAATAAAAATTGGTTTTTTTTTTCTTAGAATTTTATAAAATTTGTTTTTGTTACCAAGAGTAGTTTCATTATCTGCAATTAATTGTTCAATTGAATGTAAAAATATACAAATATTTCCATGTAATTGTTTAAGTGTTTCTTGTATATTTTTTATTTCATTTTTTCGTGTTGTATCATGACCTGTTTCATTTTCTTTTAATATAAAACTTTCTTTAACACGTTGAATAAATAAATCAAGATATTGACGACTTTTTATACTAAATTGAAAAACAAAAAGAAAATACTTATTCTTTTTGATATAAAGAAATATTTACCTATAAAGATTATCTGTTAATAAATCAATAATTTCATCAGGTAATTCTTCATTAATAATTCGTATTTGTGTTTTTATTTCATCTTTACTTATAAATGAAATTGTTTCTTGATTTGAATTTGTTTCTTCAATAAATTTTGATGCACCTTTTCGTTTACCAGTAGATGTACTTGATTTTTTTCCACTAGCACCTTTTACTAATGATGGATTAGCTAATGTAATATTACCTTGAATAACAGCTGCATACATTTGTGGAGTACATTGAACACATTCCTAAAGAAAGATATATGTTAATAGAATGTAAGTGTTTAGTATAATTCAAGAACATTGAATATATTCGAATTAAATTAATACATTGCGTCAAAAAAAAAACTAACAAATGTAAAATAGATACGTTGCTTCATTTTGTTATATTTTTTAAAAGAAATTGAGACGTATTTTTCATGCAGTTTGTCTTTTATCAAGAGAATTTGATTTGTCTTACTTTTTCAGCATATTCTTGAGAAATTTCATTTAATTTTTTATCAATTTTTTCTTGTAATTCTTTTCCAATAATAAATGTATTTGATATAAATTCTCCACCTAATGATTTAATTAATTCATTAATTGAATTTTCAGTTTTAAATAATTTTTCAATATCATTTTCATTAAAACTATTTGGCATTAATGTTGTTATATCAACATATTCATTTGAAACTAAACCATTTTCAATATTCATTTCTAATTGTGGTAAAAATTTTAATAAATCAATACAACCAGATATTAAAAAAAGTATTTGATTTCGATCTTTTAATACGAATTTTGTTTGTCCTTCAGGATCCGTTATACCAAGATTACGTACAAGTGAATATTCAATATAACCATTTTGAGTAAAAAATGATTCAATATATTTTGCTTGAGCATCTGTATAAAGTTTTGGATAAAATATTGAATTTTCTTTTGTTGTTCCAATAAGATTTCCAGTAATTCGATTATCTCGAATTAAATTAACAATAAGATCTATGAATAAATAAAATTTTTTCGTTTTCAAATGTAAATAGTAGTTTTATTGTTTTTCATTTTATGAAATTAGAATCAAATAATACTTCCGCATAGATGTGTAAGGTATCCCTTTCCGGCCTGCTATCAGAAGACTAGTATAGCATAGTTTGTCTTTCTGCTCGTCTTTTGCAAGCCAAAGCTGAAATATCTCCAGAATATTGTAAAACTTTGCGAAAAGATGCAAAATTAGCCAGTTTTTTTTTCAGGGAACTTCTAAAATTCTAGAAAGATTTAGAGGATTCTGTAATAGTCTGTGTCGGAATACCCAGAATGCTCCGAAACTTTTAGAATTTCCTTGAATTTTAGAACTTCTCTAGAAGAAACTGGCTAGTTTGGCATCATTTCACAAAGTTTTAGAATATTCTGAAGATATTTCAGCTTTGACCTGCAAAAAACGGCAAACTATGCTGTGATATGAAGGTATAGATTCAAAAAAACCCACAAAATATCGAATTTTGATACACAAAAAAAATTGACTTTTTCAAGATCTTTGTTCCCTTACAGCCGGATGTTGCCAAACGGCACCATCCTCATTTTTTATTGTTCGGATTTATTCTATAATTCGACTTAGTGATACAGTAGATTACAGATCCCTGAAGGAAAATTTACCACTAATTACATCTTCAATTGAATGTTCAAGCACAAGGAAAAGTAAGTATTTCGATTCGGATGCTCTTTTGGGGCATCGTGAATTGAGTCTTTCATATCCTCACTGACAGCTTTTATTTTTCCTATGAATGCATGAATTTACGCAGAAATATATTGGTGTAATTATCAATGTGTTAAAAGAATTATACATCATTAACTTAAGTCAATCTGGCAGAAACATTGACTCCATGTTGCCAAACGACAACATCCGGTCGGAAAGGGATATTATTTGATTCTAATTTTGTAAAATGAAAACTAGTAAAAATGTTATTTATTGTTTTTTTTTTTTTTTTTAATTTAAATTTTATTACTTTGAATAAGATTTTCATTAATACGTGTATTTTTAATTATTTCACTAACACGTACAGGTAAAAATGCTGCTTCAAGATAACCAATAAGAATATTTTGTTGTAAACGAACATAATTATCTGTATATAATGTACCAGATTCAAATTTAATATTATGTAATGATGAAGCAATAATTCGATTTGTTACAATTGAATTTAAATATTCTGTAGGTAAATCATATTGACGAATTAATTCACTGAATGATATAAGACCACGTTCAACTAACATATCATTGATTTCTTCAACTAAATGACTTGTATATTCACTTGAAATAAACAAAAAAAACAATTTCTTTTTTTTGTTTTTGTATTTTTCTATAAGAAGAATAAAGAAAAAAAAAACAAAATTTATACGCTGAAATAAATTGACCCAAAATAAATTGTAATGTTGGATCTTCTTTACAAACATCACCAACTTTACTTTCAATATAACTTAAATCAATTTTAAGATGTTGAGCTAAATCAACAATATTGATACGACCTAAATAGTAAAATTAAATTAAAAAAAAAAAACTTTGTTTTCAAATAATTTGAAGAAGTCTATAAATAATTTCCTTTTTTTTGAAAGTTAAAATGAAGAATTATTTATTAATAATATACCTTCATTTGCATAAATT